TGATGATGATCTAGTTTCTGACAAAGTTTTAAAGTTCAGTTAATCAAATTTCTTAAATTTCTCTTGAATGGTCTCCCTTTTTAAATTAATTAAAGCAGGTGTCACGCAGGTCTCTAACTTTAGGCCTAAGTTCTTTGTAGTTTTCATCAAGAACATTCGTGACATCATCAATTCTCAAATCAATTCTTCATGCTGATGTTATATAACATCTGTAAATTCTATGCATAAGAGTTTCTAATCTCAAATTGGCAAATTACAAAGAAATAAATCTCTTTCCAACTAAAATTTGTTGCTTTAACGTTTCAAATTTTAGTCTTCCAAAATTTTTAAAAAAAGCTCAATATCAAATCTTATCCTTCAGTCTTCTTAATAATTGTTCTTTAGACTAACGTTTTCTGCTGATATGTAGTGGAAAGATTTTTAGTCTTTTTATTCACACTTACTATATTCGTCCTTGAATCTTGCTGCCACATATGGCTTCATTGCCTTGCTTGAAGTGAAATGATTAAAAATATAGTTACCCTAGAAAAGATGGAAATATAGGGACGCTAAATGCACATTCGAATTATTTCATATATAAATAAAAAAAAAGGAAAAGCTCACCAATTTTCAGGAAATGTAAAGATTAAGCTGGTAATTGTCAGATTAGATGTTTAATGTTTTTTCAGGAAAATTGGTTTACCAAGCCCGGCGATTATTATTGCTCTTTCTCGTGTTGATGTTGGTTTCCGATATCTATGGATTTGATAGGAGTGCAAACCAAATGAAGGGTATCTTTTGTACACTTCTCACATTGAATGATGGACAATCTCCTCACAGATGAAGAAGAGACTTGAAGCAATAGAAACATAGAAAAGAGTACTGAACTGTTATGTAATATCAGTCCTCCTATATGGCAATGAATGCTGGACAATCTCCTCACAGATGAAGAAAAAGACTTGAAGCAAGATGAAGAAAAGAGTACTGAAATGTTATATAATAAAAGTCCTCCTATAAAATGAAGGAAAAGATGAAGAAGAGACTTGAAACTGTTAAAAAAAGGGTAACTGTTATCAGTCCTCCTATATGGCAATGAATGATGGACAATCTCCTCACAGATGAAGAAAAGACTTGAAGCAAGAGAAACAAAGAAAAGAGTACTGAAATGTTATATAATAAAAGTCCTCCTATATGGCAGAGAATGAAGGACAATCTCCTCATAGATGAAGAAGAGACTTGAAGCAAGAAAAACAAAGAAAAGGTACTGAACTGTTATGTAATATCAGTCCTCCTATATGGCAGTGAATGATGGACAATCTCTCACAGATGAAGAAAGACTTGAAGCAAGAGAAACAAAGAAAAGAGTACTGAAATGTTATGTAATATAAGTCCTCCTATATGGCAGTGAATGCTGGACAATCTTCTCACAGATGAAGAAGAGACTTTGAAACAAGAGAAACAAAGAAAAGAGTACTGAACTGATATGTAATATCAGTCCTCCTATATGGCAGTGAATGCTGGACAATCTCCTCACAGATGAAGAAGAGACTTGAAGCAAGAGAAACAAAGAAAAGACTACTGAACTGTTATGTAATATCAGTCCTCCTATATGGCAGTGAATGCTGGACAATCTCCACATAGATGAAGAAGAGACTTCAAGCAATAGAAACAAAGAAAAGAGTACTGAACTGTTATGTAATATCAGTCCTCCTATATGGCAGTGAATGCTGGACAATCTCCTCAAAGATGAAGAAGAGACTTGAAGCGATAGACATAAGGTTCTACAGAATGATGTTGAGGATAACATGAAACAAACATGTGAGCAACGACGAAGTATTCCAAAAAAGAAGTGAGACAAAACTATATCTACAATTTTGACTAACGAAATTATGTCCACCTTTTTTTTTAAATTCGTGGAAACTAAAAATATGTGTAATTCTTTACATATATTTTACAAGATATTAAAAATAACAGGGTATTTAAAATTTCTAGCCTTGACTGTAGTTCAGTCTCGGAGAACGAGATTCATAACCGTTGAAAATCAACATGAAAGATATCCATTATCGTTCTCAAGAAATAATGTCACTAGAAAACCTTGATCGTTCACATCGTAAAGGAACATAGCATCAATAAATTAATTGTAGCATCAATATTTATTTCAACAAAGATGTCTTTACCCGGTAAATATCCTATCAACCCAGGAAATAGATTTAAACTTGGTCAAGCCAAATTAGTTTGTGGTTATCGTGACAGGATTTCGTGAGTAATCGAACGAGCCATTTAATAAAACTAACGTAATTCAATCTGGATGAGATAGTAATTCTAATGAGCGTTTCGAAATTCAATGTAACATGTGAGGTTTCCTCATCTGCATTATTCGAAGGCTTGGGTGAGAAGGGATATATGTGATACAGACGGCAATGAATTGAACATGCCTCGGTAATGGTTTCTTGAAGATCCAGTGTTCGCCTAGCAGAAGACACAGGGTGAAGATTGTCATTAGCGTCGTGATAGAATTGGAAATATCTCAGCGTAAATTAGCTGCGCGCGTGCCTCGAAGATCTACAAACAGGAATTGCGGAATCTTATAAATTCTGAGGGGAAACCAAGACTTCTCTGATCGGTTTTGGATTTGAATTGTCATTGCAATGGAAAGTATGACATGAAGTCCGTAGCTAAGAAAGTCAGTTCTTGCTAGATTCTATCTTACATACTGTAATTCCCCTTGTATAATATGCTCTCAACCATAATACGCACCCCTAAAATTTTGTTGAAAGTTTGTTGAAATGCATAATACACACCCCTTGTTTGGTAATCAAACCCAATAAATTGTATCTCTCCAATTTCATTACGGCCAGCCTTTCCCTCTCTTATTTAAAGAAAATGGTTTTAAATGTAGAATACAAATATTCTAAGTTTTATGATAATTCTTAATTTATTTTACGGCAATTTTTAGAGATTTTTTGTAGTTGTGTATAATACGCACCCCTGATTTTGCTTATTATATTTTAGAAAAAAATGCGTCTTATACATGGGGAATTACGTATGTTCTATGTTAACAGCTTGTTTTCTTGCACTTCTAGCTTGAACTCACTTCTTGCTTCTAGTCAACATTGATATTCAAAATTTAAATGCATTGTCAATCGCTATCTTCTGTCTTCTTAATTCTTGGTCTTTTATTGTCCTCTCTACTTAATAGTAATTTCTCCCATATTCTCTAACATTCAGTAAGCACTTGCATCTTAGTGGCTTTGTTGCCTTTTAGTATTCAAAAATTTAAACGTAATGTCAATCGTTATCTTCTGTCTTCTAATTCCTGTTCTTTTATTGTTCTCTATACTTAATAGTGGTTTTTATCATATTCTCTAACACACAGTATCTTCTTGCGTCGTAGTGGATTTATTGCCTTCTTTGTGGTGAAATTATTATAAAAGTCTCAAGAGTTTCATTCACAAGCAATCTTGAAATATAAGAATAGATTCAGATATTGTCTTCTATGTGCCGCTACTCCTTCCATATGTGGCTCTCCACGACTTCCTATCTTGTGTAGCTCTTATCAGTTTATTCTTCCCTTAACCCACATGACGTTCCTCGATCTATTCCCACAAGCTCTTCAATTAAACGCCTTGCTCACTTTCAACCTGTCTTTCTTGGGGTCAATATTCCCCGTGGGGTTTGTGTTTTCTAAGACCTACTTTTCTTGATTCATGAGCATGTTTTTTTTCTTGATGCCATCTTCTTCGAGACTTCCTTCTTGCTAACTAACTAACTAACTAACCGTACAAGGAATTCTCAGTATCGTGCTGTAAAAGTTCATTTCTATTGCCTCTAGTTTTTACCCAATATATATATATATATAAATAAAAAAAAGTATTTGGTCAGCAATGTAGCTTTTATACAAGTTTCGTTAAAGACAACTAACATGGTATCAAAAGTCTACATATATAAATACATTTTAGCTGTGTCATAGTCCCTCATTTCCAGTAGACGGCCAAATGCCTCAAGCCATGATCGAAACCCAACCGATTAGTTGTTACTGAGAGCCTCTACCTCTGAGCCATCTTCACATGCAATACCAAATTAGCCAAATCTAGCGTTTGCTTTTATAAACGTAAACAAACGCAATGCAGGCAAAGTGCTCCATTCATGTGTGTTGCATATATATATATATATATATATATATATATATATATATATATATATATATATATATATATATATATATATATATATATATATATATATATTTACTGCTTATAAACGCTACTTTGTGGCCGAGAGGTTAGGCACGTCAGCGTAAATGACAGTTCCATATATATATATATATACACATATGAATGTGTATATATATCAAGAACTAGTAATTTGAAATTTTTGCGTTTCTCTTACAATTTTCGCAATATATCCAAATACACAATATACACGGATATATATATATATATATATATATATATATATATATATATATATATATGTGTGTATGTGTGTGTGTGTGTGTATTTAGGCAGCATATTTTCATTCAAACAGGTTTCGTTAACTAATAGACATTTTTCTTAATCAACACTATTTGGTTACTGAGAAACAGATTGAGATAGATAGATAGATAGATAGATAGATAGATAGATAGATATGGGACAATTGCATCGATCTCGTAATGGATTTCAGAAATTGCCCTGATAAATGCATAGCCTGTAAAAATGACATGTTTACAAGCGACAGTCGGTATATAAGCATCAAAATGACTTCTGTAAGATAATATGTAAAAATGGAATTCATCCGTTTAAAAAAAAAGAAAAAGAAAAAAACTACCCATAATTGAAAAAGTCTGAGATGTAATAATTATTAGTCGTAAATCAAAAAAAAAAAATGTTTGTCTTTAAGGATATATTTTATTTCTAAAGAGAAAACAAGTAGAATAATTATGCTTCGATGGGAATTGTTTTTTATTTAATTGCAGTCATAAAATATTTCTTTGTTACTCTTGCCTGTAGTTAAAATAAACTTAAGTAGGAAGACATTTTATGCTGCATTTGAAAAGAATTACCAGAATATTCTTCTTCTTCTTCCGCCTCCCCCACCTCCTCCTGCTCCTCTTCTTCTTCCCCCCCCCACTTCCTTCCTCTTTTCTTCTTCCCCGCCAACCCCCGCCAACCCCCCTCCTCCTGCTTCTTCTTCTTCTTCCCCACTTCTTCTTCTGCCTCCCCACTTCTTCTTCTTCTTCCGCCTCCCCCACCTCCTCCTGCTCCTCTTCTTCTTCTTCTTCCCCACTTCTTCTTCTGCCTCCTCTTCCTCCTCCTCCTCCTCCTCCTCATCTTCTTCTTCTTCTTCCACCTGCACCACCCCCTCCTCTTCTTCTTCCCCACTTCTTCTTCTTCTTCTTCTTCCGCCTCTCCCACCTCCTCCTCCTCTTCTTCTTCTTCTTCCCCACTTCTTCTTCTTCTTCTTCTTCTTCTTCCGCCTCTCCCACCTCCTCCTCCTCTTCTTCTTCCCCTTCTTCTTCTTCTTCTTCTTCTTCTTCTTCTTCTTCTTCTTCTTCCTCTCCCACCTCCTCCTCCTCTTCTTCTTCTTCCCCTTCTTCTTCTTCTTCTTCTTCTTCTTTCTTCTTCTTCTTCTTCCGCCTCTCCCACCTCCTCCTCTTCTTCTTCCCCACTCTTCTTCTTTTCATCTTTTCTTCTTCTTCTTCTTCTTCTTCTTTCGCCTCCTCCCCCTCCACTTCTTCTTCTTCCCCTTCTATTCATCTTCTTCTTCTTCTTCTGTGTGTCTTCGTCTTTCTCCCCCTATGCCTCCCTCTTCTTTAACTTCTTTTCTTTCCTCCTAAAATGCCTCTTCTTCTTACTTCTTCTTCTTCTTCTTCTTCTTTTCTCCTTCTTCTAAACCCATCCCACTCCTTCTTCTTCTTCTTCAAATCTTCTTCAACAAGCTCTTCTTCTTCTGGACAATGATCTCCTCTCCTCCTTTCTTTTCTTCTTCCCCCTTCGTTGGAGCTTCTTCAGTTTCTTCTTCTTCTTCTTCTGGTGTGTGTCCATTTTTTTTTCTTCTTCCCCCCAAATTTGTCTTCTTCTTCTTCTTCTTCTTCTTCCGCCTCTCCCCTGTAACATTCCTTCCTTTTTCCGGTGCTCCCTCTCCTCCTCCCTCTTCTTTCTGTTGAGTTTCTTCTTCTTCTTCCGCAAATTCCACCTCCTCAAAATTTTTCAAAACTCTCTCTTCTTCTTCTTCTTCTCTCCGCCCTTCTGCCTCCTCTCTTCTTCTTCCAATTCGGATCTTCTTCCCTTCCATTTGGAAGGAGTATTCTTCTTTCTTCTTCTCACTCCTCTTTAACTTCTTCTTCTTCTTCTTAATGCTTCTTCATCTTCTTCTTTCTTCTTCTTTTCTTCTTTCTTTTTCTCTACCTCCCCTCCCTGTCTTTCTTTCCAGGTTCTTCCCTTCTTCTTCTTTTCCTTCTTTTCATTCTTTCTCTTTTCTTTCTCCTCCTCTTCTTCTTTCTCTCTCTTCTTTCCCTTTTTTAATAAAAAGTCTTCTCGTCAGCTGTCTCTTCCTTTCCATCTCTCCTATCTCTCCTTCCTATCTAAAAATTATTTTATTTCTTATTCTTCTCATCTTTCCTCTCTTCATCCTCAAATTTCATTTTATAATGTCTCATTTTACGTACCAATCTTCCTCTTGTTAAATTCAACGAAGAATTCCATTAATCAATTTAAAATATTTATTTTCATCCGAAAAAAAAAAATTTGTCCAGCCTCCTCTTCCCCTTCTTTTTCTTCTTCTATTTATTACATATTTCTTTTCAAAGAATTCCTTATTCTTCTTCTTTTTCTTTCTTTTTTTTCCTTTTTTCTTCTTCTCTAATTCAGAACTTTTCAACAGAATTTCTCTCTCTGTCTCTCTCAATTTTTATCCTAATTCCTTCATCTTTTTTTTTTCCACAGAAGTTTATATTCCTCAAATTTTTAATAAATTTTCTTCTTAAAATTCTTTCCCCTTCTTTTTCCACTTTAATTTTTCAATTGTCCCCCTCTTTAAACCCCCTAATTTTTGAAATTTTCATAAACTCAATCGAAAATGTTTCTCTAAGATCATTTTCCTTTCAACTTTTCTCATAAATATCTAAAAGATGTTGAATCTGTACTGTTAATCTATTTTCATTCTCTTTCTTCTTCTTTAAAATAAAACGTTTTCGTTAATTTAAATCGCTTAATTTTTTTATTAACTAAATTCTTAATTAATTTTTTGTTTTTCAAAAAATGCAAACAAGACACTCTTACCGTTAATTCGTTTCTATACAGTTCATGAATTTTTTTTTATCATTTGTTATCGTTAAATCTTTAAACATTTTTTTTCTTTTTGAACAATTTCAAATTTTTTAAAAAATTCTCCTTCCCGTTTTTTTCTTCTCCCCCAAGATGGGTTTCTACTTCTTAAATTTAAATATTTCATTTATTTTCAACTTTTTTTGATTTACTATTTTTGGCAAAGTATTTTTTGTTCTTTTTTTCTTCAAAAATTTTAAATTTTCACAAAAAAAAAATTCATAATTTTAAATGTTTTGGATGTTGAATTAAATTTTACATTAAAAAATCAAATTCATTATGCACTTTTTTTTTATACATTTTCTTTATTTTATTTTGTTTATTCCTTTCTTATTCTTCTTCTTCAGTGTTTATTTTTGTTTGTTTTCCTTCCTTGTTTTTGTTATATGTTACCTTTTTTTGAATATTTTTTATTAATAATAGAAAAAATCGAAAATTATAATCACCTTTTCCTTTTTCATAAATCTTTTTCAAAAGAAATTTAATAAATTCTTTTTTTTTTCTGAATAAAATTATTTACTTTCTTTCTTCATTTTTTTTGTTTCAATTTTTTTTAAATTCAAAATATTTCTTTTTTTCTTTTTTAAAATTCTTTTTGTTTTTCAAAATCTTTTTCCCTTTCTTATATTTTTTATATTTTCTTTTAATTTTAATTCATTATGATTTTATTGAGGTTTTTTTCAGAGATTTTTTTCTTGTTTTTACAAGAATTATCTTTTGAATTTCCTTTCTTCTAAATTTTTTACATATTTTAAAAAATTCAATATTATTTAAAGTTCGACGATTCTTCTAAAAAGAATATTTTTCTAAAATTTATTTTTTAGTTCATTTTTATCAAATTTTTCCTTTATATATATATATATATTAAAAAACATGAAATAATTTTATTTTTCCTCAATATTTTTTAAAATCCAAAATTTTCTTTCAAATTTCAAAAAAAAATTTTAATGAATTTCTTTTCTATATTTCTTTAATGAATTTTATATAAATATTTTTCTTAAATCATTTTTTTTTTTTTGTATATTTTATAAAATTTTTTTTCCATTATCATAATAATTTTTTCCTCTTTTTAATCTTCAAAAATATATTTTTTAAATATTTATTTATTTATATATATATATTTTATAATTTATGTATAAATTTTTTTTTAATTCAAAAATTCAAATTTTATAATTTTTTTTTTTCTATTCAATATTATATTGAATTATTTGAAAATAAACTTTAATCATTTTTGAATTATTTGAAATTTTATTAAAATTATTTTTTTTTTTTTTCCATTTAATTTTTTTTCTTTTTATATTGGGAAAAATTCTGATTTTTTTTTTTCATTATTTATTTTCTTTTTGTCATTTTTTTGAAACCAATTTTTTAAAAAACATTTTTTATAATTTTTTTTATAATATTGTATATTTATATTTTTATATTTTTTTTTTAAATTTTTATTTTATTTTTTTTTTTTTTAAAACTTAAATTTTTTATATATTTATAATTTTATATTATATTATATGTATTTTAAAAAATTTTTTGTCTTTTTTTTGCTTATTTAATTTAAATTTTAATGTTATTAATTCTTTGGATTAATTTTTTTTCCATATTTATTTTTAAAAAATTTTAAATTAATGATTTATAATTTTTATTATGATTTTTTTAAAATTTATTTTTTATTTCCCAAATATTTTTAATTTTTTTTTTTCTTATAATTTCAAAATTTTAATTAATAAAAATGAAATTTTTTCAAAAAATATTTAAATTTTAAAATTTCTTTTAAAATTTATATTTATTTTCATAAGAAAACGAATTTTTATTTTATATTTTCATATAAAAATATATTATTTTAATGTATTTTTCTTTTATATATAATTAACGCTATTTATTTTCATTATATATATATTAATTATTTTCTTTTTTGTATATTTTATTTATTATTTCTTCATTTTTTTTTTTCTCTTTTTAAATAAATATTAAATTTATTCTATAAATTTAAAAAAAAAATATTTTTTTATATTATAAATCATATTTTATAAAGATAAAAATTGGAATTTTCTATGTTTTTAATTTTTCTTAAAATAAATTTTTCATAATTAAATTTTAAAATTTGTAATTTTATTATATTGAAATATTTTCATATATATTTCATTCAAAAAAAAATGTTCTTTTTAAATTTTCGGGTTATAAAATTTTCTTATATAAAAATTTTATGTTAATATTTTAAATAAAATACAAAATAATTCTTTATCGTGAAATATTTTATATTTTTTTTTTTATATTTTTTTTTTTTATTTATTGTTTTTATTTTTATTTAAATTTCTTATTCAAATACAATTTAATTATATAATCATAATTAAAAAATTTCTTTTTTTTTGATTCTGAATTTTTCATCTTTATTATTTTTAAATTTTTCATTTATAAATTTATGATTTTTTTTCTTTATTATAAAATTTTATATTTATTGATTTATTTTTATAATTTAAAAAATAAATATCTGAAAAAAAAAAGGAAAATTAAATTATTTTTTATTTTTTTTTTAATTTTTTATTTTTTATATTTGATAAAATTTAAAATATATGGCAATTCAAATCAAAAAAATTTATAAAAAAAAAAAAAAATTTTTTAAATAAAAATATTTAATATTTTAATTATAATCCGTTTTCTTATAAAGTTTCTGAATATATTATATATTTTTTAATTATTTATTAAAAATTTTCGTTAAACTTACCTGCTATTATATTAGTTTAATTAAAATTTTTTATCTTGTTCCAATTTTATTTTTTTATATTTTTTTTTTTTTTTCATAATTTTAATCATTATTTAAAAATTTATTGATATTTTTAAATAAAATTCTTTTTTATTATATATTATTTTAATTTAATATTTTAAATATGTATATTTTTAAGTATTCTTTGAAAAATTAAAATTTTTTATTTGTTATATTCAATTTTAAACAATCAAACATTTAAAAAAAAAACCATTTTTTTTCAAAAAAAATTTCTGTTTTTTAAAAAATGAATATTCCAGTTTTTTTTGACTTCAATTTTTTAAATTTAAAAAATGATAAAAAATATTTTAAAAAATCAATTTTAAACAATTTTTTCATCAAACATTATTTAATTTTATTCCAAAATTATATATTTAATTTTAAATAAAAAAAAATGTTCTTTTAAACCTTTTTTAATTTAAATTTATTCAATATTATCCAAATTTTTTTGAATTTTTTCTTTTTTATAAATTTAAGTTAAATTTAATTTAACTTTGTAAATTTTTAAAAATTTATTTAAAAAAAAGAATTTTTTTTTCAAAATTAATTTATTTTTCAATATATTAATATTGGATATTTGTTTCTTTCAATTACATGAGATATTCCAATTAGGGTTTTTGTTCTCAAGAACTTTTTAAAAATTCTTTTACATTTAAAACTTTTAATTTTTTGGAAAAATAATTTCAACCTTAAATTTCTTTTGATAAAATCATACTTGTCATTTTTTATTTCAAAATCAAAATTTAAAACATTTCACAAAAAAAAAAAAATCTATTTTTTTACTTAATTTAATTAATTGATCATAAAAACTTTAATTTCAATTATTAAATATATTTTCACGTTTCAATCAAAATCAATATTTTAAAATTCATTTCAAAACTTTTTGACATAAATATTTATATTGAAATTTTCCATAAAAATTTTTCCTATAAATTTTTATCATTTCAAAAAAAATATCTTTCTATTTTTTTTTCAAAAGAAAAATTCAAAAAATTTAAATTTTTTTTTGCCATCAAATTTCATATTAAATTTCTAAACAAAATTTAATTTTGATAAAATTTGATTAAATTTTTTTTAAATTAATCTTGATTTATTTTTAAATTTTAAATCATCATTTTTATAAAATGGAAGATTTTGATCCTAAATTTTTTTTTTGATAATTTTTCATAAAAAATTTTTAAAAAAAGAAATATTGTTTTGAATTTTAATTTTTAATTAAAAATTGATATATTCAAATAAAAAAAATGTTTTTTAAATTTTTAAAAAAATTTCAATTTAGATTTTTTCGTTTTTTCATTTATTTATAAATAAATTTAATTTAAATATATATTATATAGAGAAAATATATATATATTTATATTCAGGTCATCCCATAAGTTCTGTCCGAATTTTAACTTTTTGTTAAAATGAACGAAATTTAAAAGAAAGATTTTATAATGTCTAATGGAGCTGAACATTATTTTTATGTTTAGATGCATTTAAACTGATCAAATTTTATTTCAGAGAACAATAAAATTAAATTTTGTTTGATTAAAACCCTGCTAACATGGAAGTACCCAAGAATCATTTGAGGCACATAATGCTTTATGAGTTCAAGAAAGGAAACTCAGCAGCCGAAGCGGCTAGAAACATTCACTCAGTTTATGGAGAGGAATGTGTGAATGAAAGAACTTGCAGAAGATGGTTTGCAAAATTCAGAGGTGGAGATTTCACCCTTGAAGATGAAGATCGAACCGGACGTCCAGTTGAGTTTGATGAAAAAGCTTCTTGAAGCAGCCCTTCAA